CTGTCCATTCACCCACTTCTCTGTGCTCCAGGCAGGCCTTCAAGATTCAGCCCACTGATCCCGAATCCACGATGCTACTGATTTAAGGCTCCTTCTTTCATCCTTCTTTCTGTCGGCTGCCTGCAGGTGCAACACCCAAGTTGGGCTATTAAATTAGTGCAACCCCAGGGATATAACAATTCAGCGTGGGTGTTTTCCATATGCTACGGGCTCCTGTACAGCTTCAGAGAAGGGCAGAGTTCAGCTTTCTGAGAAGCCACAGGAATCTGCTGGGACCCCAACCTGGGTTGCATGGTTTGAAAGAGACCTAAAAGGAAAAAGAGAAAAATGCCTTGTGCCAGAAATGTGAAAGGCTGTGAGATGTCTTCCTTTAGTGCTTCTTTTCATAGCCTCTGCATTGCTAATGCCCTAAGGAGAGGAAAGAGAGGACACCAAATACCTAAATGGGAAAAACTGAGTCTCATGCCTTTGGGCTGTTTGGGAGCCAAAAACACAGGGCCATGTTGACTGAGTATATTAAAACTGAACCCCAAATCCATGATTTTGTGTGTGGGGGGGAGGTTTTTTGTTTCGATGGAGTTAAATTCTAACCTCCCCTGTGTCAAACACACTGTTCAAAGCTGAGCCACTGAGCACTGAAATCCAAAAAGGGAAGTTCTACACATCTGCCGATAGAACAGGAAGCGCTCCTTTTTCTGCATGCCTGATGACTATGCAACTGGTTTTCTTAAGACTTCATTTCCAGCTTTGTGTGGACTTTTTACATTTTCGACATAACATGCTTTTAAAATAAGCTTATGAAGGGGACTGAATGACAGGTGGGCTGCTATGGCAGAGGACTGAACTTAATTTGGGAGGTCTCTTCTAGTTAAATGTTCCTATCTTTTTAGATTATTTTCCAGTCCAAACTTTTGAAGGATGATTGAAGTGGTGTCTGTGGACTAACCTGTGACTTCCAGTGTCTCAGATCATCCACCAATTACCTACTGACTATGCGTATTTATGGATCAGTAGACTTTCTAAACCTGAAATGATTGCAGGGGGGAGTTTCTTCATTTGGCTAAAGGCAACCTAGTCAGATCCCACTGGGTGATGCCGATTATGTCCAAAGGGGAGCACCCATTCTGATCTGCCAAGAGTGCTGAGTGGGAATAACCATCCCAACCACCAACTTCACAATCTGAATGGAAAGGATAAGCCATCAGTTCTTGGATTCAAGTGACTGCTTGCCTGCTGCAGCTGCTGTTACAGCGAGAAGCTTTTGGCCACATCCTGACAAATAAGAAGGTGCTTCCTCCATTGTCCTAGGTGGCCACTACTAGGAGTCCAGCAATTTAAGATTCAACCTGTGCAGACACATAATCTCTCTGCCAGCAAGTCAGTCTCTGTTGAGACATCCAAACCTAGAAGACTGTCCATTAATCTTTGCAAACAGGCTCTAGCTTCCTGAAGCTGAGTGAAATCATAACAGTTGCAACAACTCTCTGACACAGTTTTCTAACACCAGGAGATGGCTAACAGCGAATGTTAAACCCACAGATGTTTTCTGCAAACACCCCCAGTAGAAGAGTTCCTCAGAAAACCCAACGCAGCTTCAGGTTAAACAGCTGTGCTCTCTAGGAGTTCACACCTGTTTATGATTTGTGGCTTGGATATTACTGATGTCAGTCCAAGAAATCTTGTTATTGTCACCTAAATGCATTAGCTGAAAGTTAACTACAAGAAACTGCATCACCTTGGACTGCATTTGACTATTCCGCATAACCCTATCTTGAGGTGTGAATAACACAGGCTGTCCTGTGCTGTGGGCGGGCTGCTTGAAATAGCATAAAAAATGCCATCCAATAGGACCTTCAACCTGGGAGTGATTTAGCCAAAACATGGATGTCCAAAAGCAGCACTGCTCTATTACTTTTTGGGCTGATAGCTAAAGAACACTGTCTTCTCTCACCAGCTTCCACAAGGTTAAGGCTCCTCAAAGCTCTGGTTTTGGTTTTCCGGCCTTTTTCCTCTCTGGGTGATCCATTTTGCAAACACAACTTCATCTGCTATTTCTGTGCTGATGAAACTTCCCCATGCAGATGTCATGCAGCAATCAGGCCAAAAAAGATCACTTGCCCTCTCCTGCTCCTGTGCCTTCCCATGTCTCTCAGTCATGGTGACTAGTATCAATCTTCATCTTCACTTGGGCCCATGGAAGCATTGCTTTTAAACATACTTTTTAGATCCAGGTTGTGTCTAAATCTTGCTGATTTTTCCTGCATAGCACCTTTTCTCTCCATCCACATCACTAAAATGTCCATCCAGACCACCGTCATCCTGCATCTCAGCTACTGCAACATCTGTTTCTTAAGTATATCTAATTTCTTGAGTAAATCCCACTTTTCCCCATACTTAATTCCATTCAAATACAGATGCTAAGATTGCTGATTCTGGCTTGTTCCTTTGCCCACATCACCCTTCTCTCTGCATCCTTCCACAAATGCAAATCATAGAATCATAAAGTTGGAAGGGGCCTCATGGAGTCTCTTGTTCAATCTCCTGCATAAATGTAAGATTCGCTGTTCCTAAATCATCCCAGATAGATGCTGACCCGGCTCTCCTTGGAATCCCCCAATGAAGGAGATTCTGCAACCTCCCTAGGCAGTTTGTTCTACTGTCCTGATGTTTTTGCAGCTAAGGAGTTTTTCCTGATATCCGATCTAAATCTGGTTTGCTGTAGTTTAAACCCACTGATTCATGTCCCACCCCTTGCGACAAGAAAGAACAACTGTTCTCCATCTTCTTTATGGCAGTTTTTCAACACATTTATCATCCCCATTGCTTATTCTGGATCCTCTCCAATTTCTCTATATTCTTTTAAAATGCGGTGTCTAAAACTGGACACGATACTCTAGCTGAGGTCTAACCAGTGCTGATTAGGATGGTACTATCAGTTCCTTTGTCTTCACAGAATTCTTCTGTTGATGCAGCTCCAAAACTGTATGTGCTATTTTTGAGACACTGCTCCTTGCCAGTGCTGCTGCTGGGCCAATAATCCCCCATTCTGGATTTGTACAACTGGAAAGAAAATACAACTACTTTGCATGGTCTCTTTCTTGAATTTCATTTTGTTCACCATTGAAGTGTTACATCTGTTCTACCAGTAATGCTGATGGCTACTTGCGAACTTCTGGAACAAGCATCTCCAGGCTTCCTCCTATGCTGCCAGGTGCACATGGGCAGAGACCCCTGTGAAAAGGTCCATTGTGTCCCTTTAAATTCCTTTTTGGCCAAGATATCCAAGCTTGACCCTGGTTGGCCAGCCAGTGTGCTGTGACCACTGCCTTCCTGACCAGCGTTGTCTGGTTTCTTTGCATTCCCCCTTTATTATGGGCACCTGTTGTCTCATCTCATACTTAATTGTAAACTCTGTTAGGCAGGAACCATCTCTGTTCTGCATCTGCTCAGAACATCATATAACTGAGCCTCTACGCCAAGATTGGGGCTGTTTAGCACTACCAATAATAGAAATAACAATGTTTCCTCCCTGCCTTCTAAGACATGCATACTTCTACAGGCAGAAAAGGAAGCGGTTCTCTCTTGACAGTGATGAGTAGATCAGTCACTCCTGCCAGGCCTCCAGGGGAAATAGAAATTTGAGTGTGAACAGCTGCTGTAATTTACAGTAAAGAAACAACTACCCCACAGAGGCTATAAAAAGCAACATCAGGAAGTATTCAATTGTAGCAAGCAACAGGCCCATACGTTACCATTTGCAAATATTGCCAATGGCAGAATATTATTTACCAGAGGTGTTCTGAGATACGTCCATTTACCCCGCAGTTAGAATAGGGCTTTATAGAAGTGAGTGGCAAATTCTGGCATTTAAATGGTAAGTGGCATATTTGCTTCAGTGAAGGACCAGCCACAAGGCTTTAATATTTCCTATCCCTGAAAATGCCACTGATCAAAAGACATGGTTCTGTGTTTACTCTAGGTGTAGATGTCACTAGGCCAATGTTTAGCTTTCACTCCCTGAAATGTTTTCCTTCCATTATAACTGCATCACAGCTGAGGGAAGAAGATCACATACTTAAGCCTGACGGAACAAGCCAGTCACAGCTGAGGTTTGTTTATAGGTTCAATTAGTTTATCTTTCCGCAGAAACAAAAAATCCTGGCATTGAAAAATCATCCTTGGCAGATGCAAATCACCACCCTGCCAGGAGGGCTTGGGGAAATGGGACCCAGCTAAGACAGAAAAATACATACTGCAAACCATGTGTTGCAGAGTGCATCAACATTGTGTGAATGTTGGTGAAGTGGATGCAAAAGGAAGAGGGTGTGGAAGACTTTGTGGGGAGATTCATAGCTTGGTCTACAAGATCTATGACAAGGGGCAAGAAGAGCTGGAAATTTGTCAGCTACATCCTATTTAGATTAAGCGTTGAATCTCTATAAGCCCAGAGACAATATTTACTATCTTATGGAACACAGCTCACCTAAGGTTTCTGGAGTGGATACGGAAAGTGTTAGCCAAACATTCTTAGATTCACTGCCTTGTCTATACACAACTTTAGCATGTGCTAGCGGGTTAAGGTGAGTTCCAGCTCCCTCTTGGCATCAGTTTGATCAGATAACACGTGGTAGAGGCTATGTTACAGAGCTAAAACTCAAACTCATCCAAATCAGTGGAGATGCTCTGTTTCCAAAAGTTGGGTGGCTATGGATGTAGTCTGGCAGCTATAGTCTGCCCCGAAAGGCCTAGTAACAGAACCAGCTAAGTGCAGACAAGGCCTTAGAGGCTCAACTGCAATAATTCATGTAAAGTTTGGTCTTTAGGAGCAGACACCTTCCATCATCTGGTTTCAGGAAGAGCAACAGGGGCTTGCAAAACGCCTGCCCCTCCAGGGCTTCCAGGCACAGTGGCAGCAACTTTCAGACATACACAGATCTGTCTTACACTGAACACTCTGAGATGCAGAAAAGTTAGCAAAAGTCAGACACAGGAAGCTCTAGTGTGTGCAAATAACAACTTTATTATTTGTCTTTTTTAAAGCAGAGCTGCACACAGAGGAAATCCAATCCAGCTTTGGGACACAGCTCCCTGCTTTGTGAACATGAGCAAGCCCAGCTCACACTGCATCGTGCAATAAAACACTGACCAATGCATGGGTGGGATAAGCTTCGGATCAAGGCACTCTTTTTGCAGGAGATGGGCACACAGGCATGGAGTTATAAAGAACAGCTACTCCACTTCAATCCACATCCCACCTGCATCTGCTTTACTTTTCAAATATAAACAACACCTAACTGTAGAATGATTAAAATTGACTGCAGAGATAAACCCACAACTTTCCACCAGTTTTTTGTACAAGATTAAAAAGGAGTAACTAAATCAATTCATCTTGAGGAGTTGGTCTTCTGCACTGCCTCAGTGGCCGATTGTATTTGATCCTGGCTATGTCCCTGGGCTGGCAGGTTATGGGTTCCTTATTGCTGGACTACGAGATGGAGGCACAAAAGAATTCAGTGCTAAGCCAGATAAGCAAGGTCAGCAAGATGCTAAGGTGCCTGTAATAACACTTCAGAGACACTAACATGAAGCCAGCTGCTAGAATCCTTTGGTGGAGACATCAGCAAGACTTCCCCCTAACATCTGACTATGTTCCCCAGTGATTGTGGCCATTAGTGAATACACAGAACCCCTCTTGAATAGCAAGGGGTAGAGAAATAAGCAAGGCGTTATGCCTTATGGTTCAGAGAGCCTCACCTAGTTGCCTCAGCCAGAGTATCATGGGAGGGAGAGAGCTTCTGAGGCTCAGCATCAGACTGATAGATGGACTGAACCCCAGCTGATCACATCCATCTATGCCCTTTTGCATATCTATGCTAAATACGAGAAAATGAGAGACGGAGGTGGTGGGTGGGGAGGAAGGGGGTGGATATCAAAAGAGCAGAATTAGACCCAGATATCAGAAGTGCAGTCTCCACCTGGGTAGCGCATCTCATGAGCGAGGGCAGGCCCATGGGGTTCCTTCCCAAAGTCCACTAGGAAATCTTCATTCACTGTCAGGCCCCCTCTCACAGTGTCCACATCAATCTGCAGTATGACAGAGCCTTCCCTAGAAAGGGACAAGAAAGCAGGTGGTGGGAAAAATTAAGTCAGCTCTTATTTCAAGAGATTCCTTGCCTTGACTCTTCTCTTCCAGACTAAGGCCCAGAAGTTTTGTTTTAGCAGGAAGTCTTCCCAAGAGCCAAGATGAGTCCTAACTCCTGTGTGTGTGCACACATCAGCACTTGCTTCCGCTTAGATTTGTAGTCCTGGCCTTTCACCCAGTCTGGAGCCTACTTTCCAGTAGGGAGAACAGACATCATCAGTGATGTTTTCATTACCCTGAATGGACTTGCAGGGACCTGAGGGTCACTTGAAGGCAAATTACAGTGGTTCATTGAAAAGCCTGGCCTAGAACTGCCAATGCATAAGAGAAGTTTCTTAGACTTGACGACTTTGTAATGGGCTGTAATCTGCCCCCATGCGGTCATGTGGAAGACTACTGTCTGCTCTTTGTAAACAAAAAATCTGCCATAGATGCAGTCTGTGAAGACACTTCCTCTGCCTGAAGAAGGGTGTTTGCACCTGAAAACTTGCAAAGAAGAATGTTTTCAACTATTTTAGTTGGTCTAATAAAAGATATCAGTTTTACCCGAAGAACCATGTCTGCCTCTGTCCTTAGACCAACACAGCTATAACCAACACTCCTGACAGTCTGTGAAGATACTTTTGGGGCTATATAGTTTCCAGCAAGCTAGGTCATCTTCCATAATGGTAATGCTGCATGAATTCTGTCAACTCCCCACTCTCCCAGTCCTTCTCAGATTAAAAGAGTGTATTAAACTACTAAGTTATTAAAATAATTTCCTGAAAAGAAACACCTAGGCTCTCTACAATATGACATAAGCATCACCTACTTCTAAGAAGCAGCTCTTGGAAACAGGCTCTTGCCCCTGGGGTCACCTACCTGTAAACATTTCTTACCTGATAAGGTCTGGGTAGAACTGCTTGTCCCATCCACTGTAAAGGGAAGTGGTTATGTACAGTCTCTTGCCATCCAAGCTCAGCTGGATCATCTGAGGTCCACCTGCAACCTTCTTCCCCTGGGAGGTACAATGGGAACAAGATAACTGCTGGTGTTCTCACTTTGGAAGAAGAACGCAACAGGAGGGTGAGGCAGAGAAGTCCAGCAGGATCAACTTCCTGCAGACAGGAGTTTGCTTTCCTGAATAGAAAACCATTGAAAACCTCTTCATTTGAGCTGGCAACCATTTCAAAAGAGAGACTCACTGTGTGCCTAAATCTAAGCTCAAGGGTATGAGAGATGGGTTTTGTATGGATGTGGAAACTGGGTTAAGTCAGAAAGGCTCCAATCCTTCAATCTTTACTAAGGTAAAAAAATCATTCTGTCCTTGGAGGGGACTTTTTCTTCCAGAAAGCTGGCAGAAGCAGGCATTTATACAGGGGGCATATACTGGCATAAGACAGCTACTAAGAGCATGGCTGTGCTGCTGTAGAGAGTTGTGGCTGCAGGACACATACTCCCACCTAAGCTAGCATCCATGTTGCCATCTCTGTCTCAACAGCAGTGAGAATGTGGGGGTGCAGGCTTTCAAAAGGGTCACACAAGCCCCTGGGGACACCCTCAGGCAGCTGGCTTGTCTGAAACTTCTGCTGCAGCATCTTCTACCCAAGCTATGTTAAGCCAGTTCAGGCAAGACACCTTCAGGTACAAATCTAGGCCGCAAGACACAACAAAGTGAGGAATTAGCAAACAGTGCTAAGATGTGATGCTTCTGGTGGAGAAAGCAGCCAATGTTGCTCACCTTGATCACAAATGACTCTGGTGGACACTGCAGCTCTGGGTCTTCCAACACAGTGACGGGCCCACCTCTGGTGATACTGCCTCCCAAAAACACCTGTAGGCAAGGGTCTGTTGTTACCAAGGGAGCAGGGACTCCAGGCATAGAAGATACGTGGCCAGGCAGCCAAGGCATTTACATGGAGACTGAAACTTGTCCTCTTCCCTTTCTAAAGAAGAGACAGAGGTAGTGTACCCAACCACAGCAACTTGCCTCACCTGTCCAACCAGTTTGGGTTTCCTGGTGTTGGAGATATCATATTGACGAAGGTCTCCATGGATCCAGTTGTTGAAATACAGGAATCTATCATCCAGGGAGATGAGGATGTCAGTAATGAGACCTTAAAAAAAAAAAAAATAGAGCAGTCAGCAGTGGAGGCAAGAAATACACAGCAAATATACAGCCAATAGCAGCAACAGCAAACAAGGTCCAAACAGCCACAGATTCACAACTGTTAGTAGACCAGGCACAGAGCATCGAGACAAGACCTTAGATTCAGGCCCCACCAAAAATAAGTCTGAGCTCTACTGCTGCTATCACTCTATCCCCATCTGAACCTGGTTTTTGGTCCCAGATGATTACTGTGATTCCGTTCAGTACCACCTTCCGTAACCACGTTTAGTTCTTGCTGAAAGCCAGGGCTACAGAGTTCCTTTCACAGCAGATACCACCACCAAGTTCTAGAGAGCCAAGTTAGAAGAAGGGACCAAACATGATTTCCTGCAGAGAGGATCAGAAGAAAAGCCCATTTGGCTTCCATTTAGCAGAAGCTATACTTTGGCTGAGGGAAGTTATGCTTCTGTCATCATGCCTGATAAAGAATGCCTTGCATTTGAAAGCTTCCCCAACTTTATCCCAACCATGCAGTTTGTCCAGTAAATCACACACAAAAATCCTTGGCTCTAACTCAGGATATTCCCAACTAGCAACTGGTGACAGTTTAGAATATACTCCAAATGGGCCAAGGGCAGAGGTACACACTGGTGAATCTAAACACAATCCTTCTCTCAGGTTTCTTGGAGAAGACTTTCCTGAAATACAACCATTTAGCAGTCACCAATTCATAAACCTTCACATCAATGACTGCTATTTGTGGGGGGGGGGAAGAAGAAGTTAACAGGCAGATACAGTTTATGGTCAGAAGGGCACTGTAGAAAAATGGAAAGCCACTGGTCAGCTTCATTGCTACCCCAATCAAGCCAAGCCAAAAAGACTCTAAATGATAATGCATGCTGGCAGTTTGAAAGACTGTGAATGGCAAGCCTGTGCAACCTCCTCTTCAGAAGGGCACCTGCTTCTTTTGCAGCATGGACCCAGACACTGGCAGTACTGATAACCCATCGCCATATCTTTGGTACGGTAAGTATTTCATGGCCAGGGATCTATATTGCTGCTGAGGATGTTTAAGAAGCAAATCTTGAGCCCTCCTCCACTCACCTGGCATCTCAGGCAGAAGCCACCCCTCCACCTTCTTGTTGGGAACTTGGATCACCTTCTCAGCTGCCCAGGTTCCTTTCTGCAGGGGAACAAAACTATACATATCACCCGTACTCCTTTTAGTCAGTCAAGAGAAGCTCAATTATGCTTGATAGCAGCAGGGTAAGCATACAAGAGCATATGCTTAACTTAGCCCATATAAAGGCAACACACAAGTACTACAGATAAGCATTAACAATGACAATGAAGCATCAGTAAGTGACCAGGCTCCAGAATACATGTATTCTGCCTGGTTACTTACTATCTAACATACAGAGCACTTGTCTGTTGGATGTCAACAACAGCACACCTACAATAGCTCCAGAAGGTACCCAAATAAAGGAGTTCAAGGGAGGAGGGGCAAAATACATGATGCCAGGCTAGGGCTGGCTCTTTCCGCAGAAGTGGGTCATTTTTGTCCTTTGCTTTAGTTCATGCCAGAAAGAACATGGCTGGGGAAAAATGTAGGACCCACAGTACCAGTTACTTCATTGCAACAGCATCTAGCAAATTACAGTAGAGTTGATTATCTGAAAAGTCAGTTAAGCAAAATGTTTTTTATTAACAAAACCATCAACCTGAAGTTGGGTTTTGCTTCTTAGTGACAATTCTGTCATTTTCTAGATCTGCTATAAGATACAAATGAATCTCTCTCAGCTTACTTGCTCTCACAACTAATTCCCTGGAAAGATCTTTCACCTATTCTAGATTCAAACAATTCCTTTTAAAGCAGGTGGAAGTTGCAGACACATTGGTTTACATGCAAATGCTGGCTCCTGTTGGAGTCTCAGCACTGCAGATGTAGGATTTGCTGATTACTGCACACTTCCCAGAAGCTCATTGCCTCACAAGGGTAAAACTCTGCACACAGAATATTAAAAGCTTGTGGGAGCTCCTAACAAAACTAACTAGCACTGAATTATCTGCCCTGCTTTGAGAAAGAGCAGGACCTCCTAGTCCACCTCTGTGCCTGGGAGGGCGGTGGTTTCATAGAGCCTCTCCACTTTGCTAAACTTGATGCCACATGAGAAGAATGTTGCTTGACGGCTCTAACTGAACTCAGCTGCCCTCTCAGTGACCTGGAGCCTCCCTGAAACAGGGTCTCATTTGAGCCTTGCCTCCTGCCAAAGTCCTTACCTCAGTCTTGTAGAAACGGTGGATCGCACTGCTCAGGGCACACCCGACATACCCCTCTGCAGCATCAGGATTGTGGAGAAATCTGATTTCCAGTGGGATGGAATCCTCCCCCAAATCAATTGTTTGTATGAAAGCATGAGTAGTCCAGTCCCACACATTAATGTAGCGGCCATAGTGCCCTGAGGAATCAAGTCATACAAACATGACATCAGAAGAGTTGCCTTTAACTTTGGAGAATCATCATTTCCAAGTGTGCAGCAGCTATTCAAATATCTCTGGCAGGGAAAATTAGTGCAACTGCATACAATTATAGGTGAGGGCTTCCAAGTGTTTTATAGGACAGCATGTGGGGCTTTGCTCCTAACAAAAGAATCTCTACTCATTTCAAAACTCTTTGTAGGAGAGGCATCAAGCATCAGATTGTGGGGTTCTCTGCATCATGTCTCCATGGCCACCATACAGTAGAAGACATGGAAGTCCATGTTTGGTGGGAGCCTGGAGGACAGAGTGTCCATCCACTGAGGCTGCAGGTCTTCATACCCAGACAAACTAAAACTCGAGCAGTATGAGCAGTCTCTGACATTCCATTCATGCAAACATTGCTCTTCAATGCAATCAGGAGAAGCATGATAACCTTCTGAGGGGAAGGGAGGAGAATCTAAACTGAGGTGCCCCTACCTCCTCCTCACAGCTGACTTTCAACACAGAGTACACTTTTAAAATATACCTGGAAAACATGGGGTTCAACATCAGAGTCAAGAGCTTACACTACGTGAAGAATGATCAGGGTAGGTGAGTATGCCTGGCTTGGTGTAAGCCACTCAGTATAATCTTTAGTAGCTTCTGTAAAAAGGTCCAGCAGACAGTGCTTACAGGTCTTTTTTGCCTACATGCTTCCTGAGGTCAGCAGTTTTCACTATCTATAGAGAAGCCACTGGTCACAATCCTGGCCAGGGTTTTCCCCAGAGTGTTCAAATTGATGCTCTCACCTTTTGTCAGATCTGCTGGGTTAAACCCATTTGCAATGTACTTTGGAACTCCCCATTCAGTGCTCAGCAGGACGTTGTGCCGTGGCTGGTACCAGAAGTCGTAGCCAAGGGCAGGTATCTTGTTCCCTTTCTCCCAGTTTCCCTTCACTTCAAAGGTCTTTCCATCCAGCAAAATAAAGCCACCTAATGCAATAAACATACACACACATTTTATAAGAGAATCATTCAAGTTAACAGCTTGACCATGATCACACAAGTAATGAGTAAATAGGAACAATAGAAGAAATAAAAAGGAACTCTTATAAAAGCAATCCATAGCCTGCTACACCTACACAAGGGAGAAGAATGTTTTTGGAAGGGGATAGGTTTTTGTGCCCTTTATTGTAAGCATGATTATTGGCATTTTAACAGCAAGCAGGATTACTCAGCATAAAAGACAAGCTAGAACTTCCCCTCCCTGAGTTCCAATGCTGAATTTCTTAGCCAAATAAATATTGACCTAACAAGCCACCCATACTAATTTATATGTCTTTATACCGTAGGACTACTGACACTGATTAACTGCATTAAGATTGATTTCCCAGGCATGCTGGCATTGCCTTTCTGGAAAAAGGGGAGCTGAAGTATTGATCTGGAAAAGAAACCTGTCTGGCCCTTTCCAGCTTCTTTAACCTATTTGTTGAGTTCCCAGTTTCGCCCAATAGTGTTGTTATTGTAAACCAATAAGACCTGCAAGACTCTTTCGAAGCTGCCTTAAAGCAGGTCCTGAAGGTTTCACACCCACTCCTTTTATCTTTGTCCTTAAAACAAACATGAAGTGATATGTATTAACAACTGCCTACAACCCGAAAGACACCTGCAGTGTGAAAGGGGGCACGGGTCACAGCCATTCACATACAGCTGACAAACGACTGCTTGGATATTAAGGAATGAGTTTTAAAGTAGTAATGCTCTGTTTGTTAGCCTCTCACAAGGGCTTTAAACATGAACTTTGGAAACACTGCCAGCTGAAAGTGCCAAACAAGGAAGTTTATCTCCTCCACACAATAAGACATGGAGCTTTTTACAGAGACAAAAGATGAGTATCAGAGCCTTTCAAGTCTACCTCACCAGTAAAAAGTCAGCACAAGTTGATACATTTTAAACAGGGTTAAGTGAGCTGTACTGATGGATCCTGTGGGCAACTACCTACTTCACAAACACATGCAGCTGCTTAGAATCTAAAGGCTCAAGGACTGAACCTCCACAGAATCTAACTGTCCTGTAGCCCAGAAGCAGGTCCTCCAAATCAAGCTCAAATCATATTGGCATTTGGCATGGCTTTTCAAAGTACCTGTGATGTTTGACTCATTTACGCCCTCAGCCAAGTATCTATTGTATGATTCAGTAGAGCAAAGCTGGCTACCGGCACAAAAGAACTGGGAACTTCTTACAAAGCTTACAGTTTTTAGCTTGAACTCTGGTAGCCTGTTATTTCTGTAGCAAAGATGCCATCCCCTGAATGATTATGGAAATAAATACCTTTCCCATTGCCAGATGGTTCACCTAGGGAACTGATCATGATCTCACCATTACCCAGACAGTGAGTTGTGTGGGGATTGGCCAGGTTGCACTTCCAGTATACTTCCACTGGCTCAATAACCTAAAGAGAGTTTACACAGAGTCAAGCCTCTTGTTGCTCAGTCCCCTCCCTCTGAGTTAAAACAAAGCATCAACCCCTACCCCATTATGGGCCTATTGACATCTTGGAACACTGAAGAGTTCTCAGGTTTTGGGTACCTGGCTGCTATCTGCTCTGGACTTGGACCAAGAGAAGGAGACTACAAGAGAGAACTGAGAAAATCCCAGTGCTTTACATGACTGGAGATACTGCTTTGCATTTATTTTTATTTTTAGTGATTCCCTTGAATTATTTTCTTAAAGAAAAATGTACCATGCTGCAACATTAAAAGCGTGGTCATAGTCAAAAGACATAAAACCAGTGGTTCAGTGCTATACAGTAAGGCTGAAAAAAATCAGTCCATCTGCAATTCACTGAAGTTAGTTGTTTTTCTTGATATATTAAGAAGACAACTAGCTTGCATCTAGATACAGAACCAGATTGCAACAGCAGCAGAATAGTCAGTAAAATGTTTATTATTGGGCTTTCTGTCAGAGACACAGACTAGTGCCCAGTTTTCAGATAGGAGCATTTGAATGTGGTGCTGATTGTAAGGAAAATAAGACAGTTTTAATCTCTCTTGAGAACCAGTTTGAAACAAAGAAAGTCTCTGTATCAAAAGAGATATTTATTTTTCTTCACCCCATTACACATAAGTAAATTCTGGCTAAGTCATGAGGAACAGCATAGTCACCTGTTATTCCAAGGGTGTAAAAGGAGAAAAATCAGGAAGACCAAGGCACAATTTGAGATGCAAATGACAAGGGCCATAACAGGCAATAAAAAGGATTTTACAAGTGTGTCAAAAGTAGGAGGAAGACTGAAGAAACATTAGGTCCCTTACCAAACGCTGAATGTAATCTAGTTATGGATGATGCAGGGAAGGCTGACATATTTAATAGCGTTTTTACTTCAGTCTCCACAAATAGGGGTAGCTATCAGATGATGAGTGCTGATGGCAGCAAAGATAGGGAAGCAGACAAACAGCTTCGAGTGACTGCAGAACAGGTTAGGGATTACTCAGAAAAGCTAGATGCTTTCAAGTTGGCAGGGCTGGATGGGGAGCACCCTAGGGCACTGAAGGGATTGGCTAAAGGTAATTTTAGTGTCATTCACTATTGTCTTTGAGAACTTGTGGAGGTCAGGTGCAGTGCTGGATTGGTGGAAAAGGGCAAATATAATGCCTTTCTTTAGAAAAGGGAAGAAGAAGGATGGATCTGAGGAATTAAAGATAAGTCAGCCAAACTTCAATACCTGAAACAATCATAGAGCAAGTCCTCAAAGAATATATTGTGAAGAACCTAAAGGAGAACAAAGTGATCAGGAACACCCAGCACAGATTCACTACTAGCAAGTCATGCCTGGCCAAGCTGACTTCCTTCTATGATAAGGTGATATGCTTGGTGGATAAGGGGAGAGTAGCAGATGATATACCTTGACTTTAGCAAGGCTCTTGACATCATCTCCCATGACACTCGTTAAGCTAAGGAAATACAGACTAGACAAAACTACTGTAAGTACTTTCCACTGTAACATGAATACATTGGACCATAATGGATAGTTGGACTTCATGCTCAAAAAGTAGTCACCACTGGCCCAAGGTCTAGTTTGGAGGGCGTATCAAGTGGAGTTTCCCAGGGGTCTGCCCTGGTTTCAGTATTGTTTAATATCTTCATTAATCATTTGGATAATGGGATCAAGTACACAATTCAATCTGTGGATGACAGCAAGGTGGCTAGAGTTGCAGACACCCTGGAAGGCAGGGCTAAGATCCAGAATGACCTGGATAGACTGGGGATATGGTCTGCAATCATTCAGATTAAATTCAACAAAGAAAAGTGCCCTTGAGATGGAATAACTGCAAACACAAATACAGACTGGAAAATTGTTGGCTGGGCTGTAATACTGCAGAGAAGGACTTGAGGGTCACAGTGCACAGGAAGTTGAATATGAGCCAACAGCATCCTGGGTTGTATTAACAGGAATGTCACTTGCAAATAAAGATTCTTTTGCCTTATCCAAAATTGTTGAGGCCTCACCTGAAGCACTGTGTCCAGTTTTAGGCCCCACACTTCAAGAAGGATGCGGACAGATTGGAGAGTCCAGCACAGAGCAACAAAAATGATTAGGGGTCTGGAAAGCAAGACTTATGAGAAAAGGCTGAAAGAACTAGGGTTATTTAGTGGCCATAGGAGACAGGACTAGGAGCAATAGGCTTAAGCTGCAGCAGAGGAAATTTAGGTTAGAGAGATGAGAAGGAACTTTCTGACTTTATGGGTGGTCAAGCACTGGAACAGGCTGCCTAGAGAATTTGGGACCTCCATCCTTGGATGTTTTCAAGAGCAGGTTGGACAGATATTTGGCTGGGGTGGTTTAGTCAAGGCTATGAGTGGAGGGCTGGACTACATGGCCTTGTGAGGTCCCTTTCAGTCCTAATTTACCCATGATCCTATGAAAGCTGGAAGATTAACTATGATAGGAGACTGATAATAGGTGTGTCCCACCAACTGTAATGGGAAATACCATGCACCTTTAATAAGATCTATTTCCTGATACCTCTGCCAAACTGTTTGTCCTAGTATATGTGTATGTGTGAGTGTAAGCGAGTGAGTGAGATTTGTTTTTGGAAATTTTCATGCCCAAAGCTTCAGTCACTCATAGAATAAAACTGGAGAAAAATACAGTATTTTTCACAAAATGCTCAAGCTTTTAATTTAAAACCCATGCTTAGGAACAGGGATATGAAACCTGGTATATAGATGGCCTGTGCGTCAGGGATGTGGTTTTATAGTCCCTGTGATAATCCGACCAAATCTGAAGAAGTTTGGAAAGGGTCCTGAAATTTGCATACATTCAACAGAATACTTTCAATTTAGCAGCTAATGGGAATGTACTAGGAACATGCAATTAAAGACTGGATCATGCTACTGTATGTAAAGTCTGGACAGATAATCTGAATACTGGCATTCCCTAACATTTAAGTGCCAGATTTTGAATGCTACATTCTTTTAAAACAATTTGGTGCCTGCATGTGCATGTAACTGTCCTAAGAAACTGTGAGACATTCAGTGCTCAGACAAGTTTAGATTTATGAAAGCCCTGAAAACATATTCTGGACTCTCCATCCAACTTTGGAATAGAAGTCATAGTTCCCATCCCCCAGGCAAGGCACCTGTCTTTGTGTCACCTCTGACATACCTTATAGAGCCTGGGAGCCCGCATGTCTGTGCCCACATCCACCACGTAAATGCGGGAAGAGATCAGACTGGGAAGAATCAGCCGGTTCCGTTTCTTGCTGACATCCCCAAAGGAGCTGCTGCAAGTATTCCACCCCGAATGATGGAGCTCGTCGTTGACATTGGGCATGGGCAGACGGTGGATCACCTATGAAAGCAAAGGATTAAAATTCAGGTTTAGCAAATGGTCAGGACAGGAAGCCCCAGAGAAAGGGACACAGCCCTATAGATAAAAACATAGATTAGGAAAGGGGGCATGGGAATTACAGTTGTTATCTAGAAAGTAAATTCAGAGAGTAGGTGGAGATTTTCAGAGTTGCTGCTTGGGTGGGGTGGGGGAGGTCCTATCCCTAGTAGTGAGTCTGGGAGGCCTGGGAGACTCCCAGAGATCAAGACTCTTGGCTTTTATTTCTGGCTCTCTATATGTCATGCTATATGACCTTAGGCAAGTCACTTCTTTTCCCCACACTTTGCATTTAATGGACATCCGCATGTCCTAACATTCGTCTTATGCTTTAACTGTATCTAAAACTTGGAAAGTAGACAGATAATCCAGCTGTTGCAAAAAACAGAATGGTGGTAGAGAGAAAAGAACAACTGCACAAAGGCAGCCACTTTCTGACTGGGCAAAGCTGGCCTGGTTACAGTGTGGTCTTGCAGCAATTTGATTACACTTAATGGTACTTTGCATTCTGGCTGCTGATCTGCAGTAGAATGTAGCGTAGGGTTAAGAAATGTTCTTAAGGCTGTTGTCCCAGTAAGAAACTGGATTCTTCAATCCCTGCAGCAAAATCTTTAGTAAGAATTACATAAAAGAAAGAGTTACATATGAAAAACATGTCAAAACAGACGCATTGTTTCCCAGCTCCTTTGTAACACTGAAGACCAAAGTCTAAAATGCCAATAAATCACACGAATAACTAGTATTTTGGAATGCACATTACACTTTTTGAAACAATGAACCAACCCCTTTTAAAATACCTAGTTTTAACAAATAACTGGGAGCTATGGTCTTCATAATTTGCCAGATTTTGCTTTTCCATTTGAGATGGGAATGCATTCATTTTATCGAGGACATAATATAGAATCACTGGTTGGACAGGAAAATAAACTTGCTATGAACTTGATAAAAAATTGTCAAGTGCCCCAAGCAAATATGATCCTGTAGAGATTAGTAGTCTTTCAACACATATACTGACAATGTGGATTTAGAGGGAGTCACCCAAATGCTTACTACACAAAGAAAAGCTTTGAAGTCTTCTTGGGAAGAAGAGTTTATACATTAGCCTTGAGAAGTTCCTGGAGGATTATTTAGCTGAGGTTTAGAAAATGGCTGAAAACTCAGACATGTATCTAAGCCACCAGAGTTTCAGAGAAGTTTGATGTGAATTCATAAACTGGCTCAAATTCTTGAAGAATCTTGAGAAGGAGAGTGGAATTCTGAGTTTCTAGAGAAATATGAAACCAGCTAAGTTACCCATAGTTCAGGGTTCACTGTGAATAGGCTGTACATGTCCAAGAAATGTACCATGAAATGTATATTGATGATCAACACTGGAATGTCTATTGGACAATGGTGATGCAGAAAAACCAAAAGCAGCCAAGGACAAAAGAAATCTCTGACAAAAAGAGAACAAAAGGCAGGGTCCCTGGATCCAACTTTCATGACTGGAGGGGTCTCTGGATAAGACAGTGAGAAAGTACAACACAAAAATGAGTTAGCACAACTGACATAGGGCTGTCTTGCCATGCTTGGTGCAGGGAGGAAAAAAAAAAAATCAGTATCTTGAGTGCAGGCAGGAGAGAAAAGCCCATCCAGGGAGCGCTAGATGAAAAGAAGAGAGACAAAGCTGTCTAAGTCCTCCAAAGGTGCATTATATACCCATTTAGCCAGCAAGACAGGATAATGACAAATGCAGAGTTTCTCTTGCAAGCAGGGGTACAAGTTGCTGCCCCTAGAGAGTAGTGATAAATGGCAAGCAGATGGCATGTGGTCAGCTCAAGCAGAAGCAGGGTAGAGTACAGCCAGAGCAATACCTGAGAGTAACATGGAGATTCTGGATCCACATCCACAGTGGCCAGATAGTCAGGTTTGTTTATCCCAGTGTTCCGGTAGATACAGGGCAAATATATGATTGTCTCCCTGGGACCTGCCAAGGCAGAAGCATAGTTTAAGAGTTGGCAATCATTAGTTTAAAAGAAAAAAACTGATATGAGCTTTGAAGGTGTTTTTTACTGGGTTGAATTTACCCATCTGGAGCTTGGGGTCCTTCCTCCTGAATTACATCAGGGGCATACAGATCCTAGTTTCCAAGGGAAGCTCTGGACAGCATGCAGCTGGAAAGAGATTTCCTTGCCTAAGGAAGGGACTCCTTCAGCTTTGTTCAGCTCTGCCTAAGGACTCAACCCTTGTTCAGAAAAGTACTTCTGAAGGGGCTTTGGGATGCACAGGTCATTGCAACGAGAACAGCTTCCGGGATTTCCCTTACCACTGACAAGGGCTTGTCCACCCTCCCCTAGTGGCAGTTACTCAAGGTACACTCTGGTGTCATGCATCATCTCTAGCCCTGCCTTGGTTATTATAACCAGCAACTGTAGAGGCCTTTAAAATACTCAAGCCTGCATTCATGGCTCCACTGAGGTCAAAGACAATACAGACCAATGACTTCAAGCAGGTGAGAATCTGGTTGACGATTCTATGTTTGTAAGAGGAACAGAACATGCCCATGTTGATTAGCCCACTGTGAAAGAGAAGCCTGGCTTAAAAATGATCACAATGTAAAACCATACAGGCTACCCCAAGGGAAATGAGAACAGGAAATCACTCCTTTTTTCACTTGTGAGCCATATGTAGGTCCCATTTATGGCAAAAAGCAAGGTTGCAAGAAACTCTGTTATGATAAACTTGTTTGTTTTAATGTTCAGTATTTCAAAGTGTAGACACAGCAGAGTTTGCTGTGTGTGAGTCCTCCACACCAAGCTATTTCTGCTGTGAACCTGTTATGGCACAAGGCCACAGTCTGAAAGTCTTGACCAGCAATAGGTCAAAGATGAAAGTGGGTTTTACTTGCACTTTACAGTTTCCTCCCACCTACTGAAGAATCCAAACTATAGAGCTAATTAATGACATGGAATTGGATCATCTTAATTTTAAAGTGATCCAGCAATAACTTGCAACTCTTTCACCGATGGCCTAGGATTTCAAGCGCAAACTGATACGGACTTGCCTTTCATGGCATCCAAAGGAGTCTTGTATCCAGGACCGCATTCTCCACATTCTGCTATTATAAAATAATAATAGTAAACGTTAGAGATTCCCAAGTTACTGAAAGGCACATGTTCAAAAGAGGGTACTGGAAATGTCAGACACTCACAAATCCGTTTAACTCTAAGAGCAGTTAATGAGCTGAAGACCTCTGAAAATTAAGCACAAAGTGTCAGGTTGAACACCCAAAGAGAGAGGAAAAAAATCAGAGCTTGAATTTTAAAGGAGCTCTTTTCTGCAACTTAGCACCAAGGCAATGTATGGCAAGTGCTTGGGAACTAGGAAGACTTAACTGACAGCAAGTTTTTGAGACTGGGGTCCATGCACTGCCCTTCATTCACCTAGACACATTGCTCCATTTGAATAACCCACTTTCCCATGAAGTGGAAAGCTTTTAGGCTTCTTCTGAGTATTAGTCCTTGAAGAAGTGGCCACTCCTGTGGGCTTAGAAGCTCTTTGGCAGACAGTTCTGCAGAAGCCTGTCCAGGATTTTTGGTAGTCTTGTTTGGTGGGAAGTCTGACCTAGATTAGCTCCCTTCCCAAGAAACTCATTTTCCAGTCACTTCCTCCTGCTAGAAACCCCCACTGAACTCTAGCCTGCACCCTTACATTACCTGCTACCAATCCTCAGCTCAGTTATTAATTCAGGAACCAGAAGAAGAGAGACATTGCAGCTGGCAGTCCATGTAGCCAAGAGATTGGAGGGGAACCTGAATGCTATCAATGGGGGAGTCTGCTTAGCAGCACCAGAGGTACACATGTCTACTTGGAGGCTGGTGGCTGCATTATGATGAAGAAAGATCAAGGCATTTTGAAGTAGCAGAGAAGCTGAAAATATATGTCCCTGGGTTCTGTAAAGGATAAAGCAGGAATTCAGTGGATTCAATGCATACCTCATATTCTCTCTGTACAAAGCCTCCGCTTTGGGAGCTGGAAGGAGAATTACAGAAGGAAAGAAATTGTTTCATGAATTCTACTCTCTCTCCTCTGAGGTTTATGACATTAAAATTGGATTTACTCAAAAAAGGACACACTAGCACTGACATATTAACTTAAGCATTTTCTTATATAACTGGATTTATAGATAGGGAAAGGAAAGAAAATCCACTGTGTTTCGTTTGTGCCTAAGCTCTATAAAAAAAAAAAAAAAAAAAA